GCCCCCAGGTCCAGGGGGGGCGGGGCGCGGGGGGGGGGGGGACTGGCCGCGCTTCCGCCTTTGGAACGTAGCAGGAGCAGGGGCCGCGGGGAGCACGGGGGGGGGCTGCTTGAGTCAGCCACCGAGGGCAGGGTGAGAAGCACTGAGCTTATACCGCCGCCAAGGAGGCGCAGGTCGGACACTAGAAAGTCTTCCTGGCGGGGTGGCCAAGCCCCAGACCGATTGCCCAGGAGGCTGCACAATCTGTCACCGGAGGGGCCTAAGGACAGGTGAGAAGAACACCTGTCGGGGATGGTCCGGAGCAGGGCAGGGCATGACGTGGCCCAGAGGCCAGATCCAGCCACCTAAGTCTTTCATGTGGCCCGTGAACAGCCTCCGGCGCTTTCTATTTCTGTCCTGCTGCCCGAGCCTCCGAATTCCCAGGCTCAGGCAGCAGGATCCTATTGAACTGGCTCCTGGCCACAGCGCTACCCCAGTGGGGGCCGAAGCCACGAGCCCTTTAAATAGCTGCCGCAACCCAGGGGAGCTGCCAGGCAACACGGTAGCGGCAGGGGACCCTCCCACCCCGGACAACTCTAGGGGGAGGCTAGTCCCCAGCCCCCCCCTTCTGGGGTGGAGCCTGCCCAGGACCCTGCACCAAAATTCATTAAGTGCCCCCGCGAACATCATGGCTCACGCCTGGCGCAGATGAGCCTCAGTCCTGGACCGGGCGAGATGCCCTCAAGGCCCAGGCCCCTGCGTCTCTGCTCCTACGGAGGCTAAAATGCCCCAGCAGCCTGCAGCTCTCTGTGGCCCAGACAGGCCCGGCGAGGGCTGCTTACCGGAGCTCCTTGAGCACGTCCTCCGAGGAGCTGCCCTCGATGATGAACACGTCCTTCATGTCGTCGTGCAGCATGTTGCAGGAGTAGCCGATGTTCACGGCAGTCTCTGGAAAAGCCACAGACTCAGACGGAGCCGCCGGTTACCCAGCCCGCGCCGCGGGAGAGCCTGCGCCCCCAGCCCTACCAGGGCCAAGAGAGTCGGGGAGTCTGGCTGGCTGGGCCCCCTAGGGGGCAGAGACTCGGCCCCTCTCGCTGCCCAAGCAGAGGCGCTAACTGTGCCACAATTAACGGGACGTGGGCTGCTGGCCGGGCATGGAGGCTAAGTACCCTGCAGCTCTCCCGGTGCAGCAGGGGGCGAGGACCAGAGGGGCAGGGGGGCCACGTGGTTCCATCTGCCGGTGCAGGTCGCACCTCCCTTCACCAGGACTCTCGTCCGGCAGGACCACAGCTGCTCCTGGATGAGAGCCCCGCAGCAGCAGGGCAGCGTGGGGGGCACAGTCAGGGCTGCCTGCCTCCCAGCAGGGAGGCCAGGGTCATGGCAGCGCAGGAGGGGGCGCCCGGCCCAGCTGGCCAAACCCAAG